AACATCCTTGTGGATACAGGTGCTTATCATGCACCAAATGTTGCGAAATGGAAGAACGCGAAAAGGGTTTCTTTGATGGGTAGTGATATCAAATCTCTAGATGAAACACCAAGATCTCCCAATCTGTTGACCCTATTTCTCAGAGGAAGCCATTTAAAGATGATTGTCGATGACTACTTTGATTTCATGCCTACGCTACGAGTTTTGGATTTGTCTGAAAATAGCCTTATAACTCAACTGCCATCTGGAGTTTCAAATCTAGTTTCATTACAGCATCTGAACTTGTCCAAAACAGGCATAAAACGGTTGCCGATGGAGATAACGGCATGTGCATGCCTAAAATATCTGAACTTAGAGCAGACGTTCTCGCTTGATTTTGTTCCACCAAATTTATTATCAAGTTTCCCGCTTCTTAAAGTTTTGAGAATACTAGATTGTGGTTCTTCTAACCGAATTTTTTTTTATAGTGAGAGAACCATGATAGACGAACTGCAGGGTTTGAAACACCTTGACGTCTTGACTTTGACAGTAGGAAGTACCTCTTGTTTCCAGAATTTGGAAAGCGACCACATATTAGTGACTTGCACTCTAACGTTATGCCTCAGGGGCAAGATTTACGGGAACCTTGGACCGCCTTCAAGCTATGTTGATTTATCACCTGTGGCGATGGCAAATATGAAATACCTTGATACCCTTCAAATTATACGTATGGTGGATGTGTACTGTTTAAGGAAAATAACTTTGGAAAATCCGAGTTGCTTCCTTGGTCTTCAGTTCGTAGAAGTAGTAGATTGCACGAATCTCGAGGACCTGGAATGGCTCGTTTTTGCTGCAAATCTCATCGACTTGCATGTATATGGCTGCTCTAAAATGACGAGAATACTCGGTTGGACGGGAACGAAAACTTATACATTGACCCCATTTGCAAAGCTCACTGTTTTGCGTTTGAGCAAACTTCCCCACTTGGGGAGAATATGCGAAAATCCCTTGCCCGTTCCATTTCTGAAGAAAATCCTTATATCTGGATGTCCAATGCTCAGTAAGCTGCCTCTCAACTCTAGCAGTGCTCAAACAAGTAATCTCATTATTGAAGGAGAGGAAAAGTGGTGGAATAGCTTAGAGTGGGAGGACCAAGCGGCTCGAAATGCTTTTCTTCCCTGCTTCAGACCCTGTAAGTGAGAAGGGGTGTCTGTTCACCAGTTTAATTGGATGCATCTTTTTATTCCAATAGCATTTAAGACAATGTATTATAGTCCGGCTCTGTACATGGTGTCTCAACTTTAATAATTACATGATTGTTGATATGTTATCTCTAATGTATTGATATTATTATCGCCAACAAATCGTTCCGACCTGTTTACCACGAGAGGTCTCTACTAAGTTTAATTGGTCGAAAATGTTGATTAGTTTTGGATCCGGCGTAAGTTTAATTTGCAAATGTTCCCATGTTATAAGTTTGGTAATATGAGATGTTATATTGTTAGTATATTTCCCTTTATTAATCCAACCCAACTAGTGTAATGAAGAAACAGTGGTTTTTCAATTAAAATTTATTATTAGTTTATGAGCTTATCGTGTAAAACGCATAGGGAGTTGTTTCTTATTTTATTTTATAGAAAATTTCTGGATCCGCCACTACTGTAGATTCCTTTCACTGATTCATTATCAGAAGATCAGAACCAGAACCAACCAGTAGAGCTTTACTTATTAAAAGAAGACTATGAACTTGAATGTTAGAAGAGGCACCCAGGATATTGATATTTGACATGAACTTGATGCATCGAATGTTTGACATGGACTTGATTACTCTCAGAATTTTTGTATTGATGGAGTTTCTTTACTTTTTCATTGATCAATGTCTGCACTTTTGATTATTTTTATAGGTCTATCATCTATGCATTATAAGGGTTATCTTAAGAAAGTTCTTTTTCTATGATTCTTTTGTTTTTAGTTATGGGGTTCTAAGACTAACTAGCTTTTGTGCAATATCGTTCAAACAGAAGAGATTGATTTCAAAATAGTGCACTGCCAATGATTGAATACAAAGAAACAAGATAACATGGAATTTATCTCAATCTATTCGGAAAACCTTTTGAAGAGGTTTCAAATCTCGAACGCCATCTCCAATGCTAAAGGGGCTAAATCCAAATTTTCACCCTTTAAAACACAACTATTAATGTATTGTCCGGACTCAAACAGTTTTTCCCCCAACCCTCCAGACTCACCGTAGCCTTATTAAATTATTTAAAAATAGTTTTACTCTTTTTTTTTTAGTGAATTTTTCTAAACATTTTAACCTATAAATAAAATAAAATTCGACAAACTTAATTTTATTTCAATTAAAATGAAAACTTGTATGCCATTATCCCACATGGCTTGAATTATTTTCTGACTTAGTGCCCATCTCCTCTCGTCTTCTTTCAATTATTTCTGACTTTGTGCTCATCTCCCTTTATCTCCTTCAGCTCTTCCTTTTCGTCTGTTACAAATACTTTTCCAATAGTCAACTTCTCAAATTGCTCTATGGTTTGATCAAAAGGACAACAATTTAACTCTGAGTAGCTCAAAAGCCAGTTGAAATTTTGCTTATGAAAACATATATTACCCCAACTTTACCAGCAGAGGGTAACTTCAACCGAAAGGCACATAAACTGTAAACCATTTATTCACTTGAAAAATCAAGATCAATGACAGTAACAAAATATACAGAAAATATTCGATTTAATTCAAGGATTATTATTCTTACAGACCCTACCTAAAAACAACTATAGGGTAGAACTTCAAAATGACAACACAACATTAAGTTTCAAAAAGTATAGAACTTGAGTTGGGAGCAAATGGGTGGAATGGTTGTACCAAGAGGTTTGGTGATACTGGTAGTGTTAATAGTGTGTTTGGCAACAAGTGTTCTAGCTGATGCTGATGCTGATGATAATGATGACAGAATAAGTGACTTCCCAGTTTCAGCTCCTGCACCATCTCCTGATCAGGCTCCTATGAGTCCGATAAATAAGAAAGTTTATGCTTGCGGGGAACGGTGTGTGAACAGATGCATGAAGGAATCATCAGAGTACCCAGTCTACTCAAAAAGTACAACTACATGTATGGAGCCCTGCATTAGAACTCTAGTGGATGGTGTCTTGTACATTTGGTTGTACAAAGTCCTTGAGCACCCAGTTTGCAACTGGTAAGCTTCGCTAGGCCTCTTCTTTCTCTAGACATCTTTCAAATTTTCTGTGTCTTCCATGATAAAAAGTTTTCTCAAGTCTAGTTCAATTGAGTTCCCTTTGATATAAGTTAAAGAAGATAGAATATTTGCTTAGTTGCAAAGGTAATGACTGACTCAACTAGTCACTAAAATGGACTGGTTTGGTTATGCTACTATTTTGAGCCCTGCTCCGAACTAATCCAAACCGTTATGTTACAATGATTCAATTTATGGTTTGAGTCCTAAACGAAATCAAACCGAACCGCGCCCACCCTTGCAAGTTACATAAGGATTGTATTCATGTGTGAAATAACATATAACAATAACGACTTTATACATGTGAACCTCACTGAGATTCCTTACACAAATATGAAAATGTATATCATGGGATTGATATAAACTTAATTATCTATAATATGGAAAGATGCAGGAACCCATAATCAAAAGTATACAATCTGAGCTAGACGTAAAATTGATTCGAATTTAATCATTGGTATTCTTTATGTGATAGGTATGGCTAAAGTGGAAAGCTACTTTGGAGCCTGCTACAACAGTTGCAAGAATCATTACTGAAACGAAAGGTTCTATTTATGTGTGTGTGTCTTTGCAATCAAACAAGATGTACAAGATATTTTGTAAGACCCGTGTCTTGGGGAAACAAGAACGGTGAGCAATCCCACATCGCTCGGGGAGGGAAAGATGAAGTGCTATAAATGTGTGGGCACTTCTCTTCCTAGCACGAGGCCTTTTGGGAGCTCACTGGCTTCGGATTCTTAGGAACTCCGAAGTTAAGCGAGTTGGGGCTAGAGCAATCCCAGGATGGGTGACCCATTGGGTAGGATGGGTGACCCACTGGGAAGTTACTCGTGAGCTCCCAGAAACAAAACCGTGAGGGCAGAGAGGGGGGCCCAAAGCAGACAATATCGTGCTAGGGGAGTCGGGTCGTGACATATTTTGTTTCCTTGAATGCTTTAAACACTACCCACAGTTCTCATCGATTGTATACAAGGATGAGAATGATATGTATCATTGAAAAATCGACAGAACGATTTTATTTATACTAGATTGTCATTGTGTGTTATATATGTCAAATGAGATGTAATGTCTTGTCCATAGTTCCTGCAAATGTAATTAGCTTCAGAAAGTCTGAATGTGGAGCATACAACCCTTTTAGGACTTTCAATCTCAAGGCCCTAGAGTTCCAATTTCTAAATAATCCTGCACCCTTGCTTGCTTTGCTGCCTTCCTCACCATTTTTACCCACCATAACTCAGCTATAGCATATTGGATTTTACCACAAGATAATAGGAAATTTAGAACAGGAAATAAGGTAAGCTCTGGGATAGCAAAGGCCCTGCTGGAGATAGTGATCCTAGCTTGCTCCCCTGTATTTTTACTCATTATTTGACATATCGAACTGTTTTTTGTTTGACCACCTCCATAGCTTAGGCATTAGACAACCCCAAATAACTATTAGGATCTTTAAAGACCATCTTCAAAAAAGAATTAAGAAGGCTGAAATAGATGCTGGATTTGTAAAGGGTTTTGCTTTTACCATGATGCCACACAATATAAATCTAGGATTTTCACCATTTCTTGCAGCAGTAGTGTCAAATACCATGTTTAACCAGAGCCATTTTAATAAAATTAAGGATTAGACTGAGCTACTTCTTTCATTGGTAATCTTCAAAGAGTTCTTTCGTCATTCGAATAACATTTAATTCACAAAGTCGCTACAAAAGAATGCAGGGGCAACATTTAATTGATGAAGTAATATATTTTACATTAATATCAAGATTCAAGTAGGAGGAACTGTTTTCACTTTTATATACCTTCTTTAGCAGATTGTGCCCATTTTATGGTTGACCAGGCCAATGCATCCATAGGGTCATTGCATTTCTTAAGAAGAGGATCATCCGGGGGAAGAAGATCCCGCATATCATCAGAGGCAAGAATTACAGCATTGGCAGCCCTCACTAGAAGAACCTGGACTGCAATCCTCAAGAGATTCTGTGCCCCTTCTATGTCCTTTCTGTTTAAGGCTTCAATAGCAGGGATTACAGTGTGTTCCATGGTTGCTTTATCTGGCAGAACAACCTCAAAACCCTGCATTTAATGAGTGGTCAAATGAATACCATAACATGATGTAGCTAGCAATGAAAAAATGTACACTTCTAATCAGTATCAGTTATAACCATCTTACACAATTTAGTGCACTCAGAAAAATAGCCATCTTTAGCAGGCACAGGCAAGAACAGGATGCTATTTGGAATTTCAGTGTTTTCATTTCAATCAAAATTTTCAGCAAAATGACACAAAGTCTTAATATAAACCTAAATTACCCCAATTAATCAAAAGAATCGGGCGTGTTTTCACCAAAGAAAAAACGAAAGAATGGCCTGTTGGCGAGTCCTAGTCCTATTCTATTTGGGTTTTATTTATTTTTCCTTTTGTGTAGATATTATGTAATTAGGATTCCACTTATTTCCTAATTAAACCCTACTAGGGTTTGTAACCTGTATTATAAATCCCTCCTTTCGGAGAATGAAATATATCTGAAAATATTCTACCATATTGTTTAACTTGGTATCAGAGCCGACTTTCTGGTGACCTGTGTGTGTTGTGCCCATCCGTGTTCTACTCTGTGCCCTAATTTCTTTTTAGGGTTCTTGTGCCGTGTTCTACTCAGTGCCCTAATTTCTTTTTAGGGTTCTTGTGCCCGTGCTTGTGCTGTGTTTATCGTATCTGCTTTGTGTTGTGTTTGTTTCCGCTGCTATCTATCACGGGTAATGATTCCATAGTTGTGACTGGTCCTAGTGCATCTACACCGAAGGAGGCACGTCCCTCGCGTGATTACTCTACCCTGATTACATCTGACAAATTGGATGGCTCCAATTATGCCTCTTGGTCTCGTGGTGCGCGTATTACGATAACTAGTCGTCGTATGGCAAGTTGGATCAATGGGAAGAAGCCTGCTCCGTCTCA